CTTTATTTAAACACAATATCAATAGGACCTGCAATAAATACTCAAAGTTTTGAACATACAGATCTTCATCTATGTATGTATCTAGCACAGCAAAACACCTTTATGTTTCCTTGTTTATATACAGGTTTATATATTGCTGTATATAGATAATGGAGATATATATACACACATATACATATATCTGTAATGCACTTGTGCAAAAATGACCTTACCAAGGACAGTAAACAATTAAATATTTCCCAATCCACTCTCCCTGGCACTGGCAATATTGCACAGAAATTCAATTGTGTGCTCCTGCCATTGGGAGGGTGAGAAAATGGGACAAACTGAAATTGCATGCACGGAGAAGCTGCAATTCCACTTTTTTCATGATGAAGAAAGTTTATAAAAGCTTGGTACCCACTAAAATACTCTGTATGATTCATCACCTTTACACACAGCAATTCCAGCGAACACCCACTACCAGATCCAGGGGAATCAGGGTTGTGTTCTGCTCTTAGAATGCTTTCCACTTACCACTTTACCTTCAAGTCATGTAAACCCCAGTTTCCAGCATGCACTGCTCTGTCTAGATCCAGGCTGTGTCACTGGGTAAGTGACTGTGCTCCCAGCTGGGCTGGCCATACTTTGTTCTGTGCCAGGCAAATACAAGCCTCAGTCCTTCGGCCGAGGCTGCGAGAGGGAGAAGAGGTGCCACGGGATCTGCCCGTGCCACCAGCTGCAGCTGGAGCCCTTGAGGAACAGCTGTAGTGCATCTCCCAAGAGCCAGTGCTGGGTGGAATTTTGCTGCTCTACTCCGGAATGTGACAAAAATCACCTACAGGTTCCCCTGGGTGCCCCGTGTCCCTGGTGACCCACAGAAATGTCTTGGCAAGAGGGTCTAGCTACCCCAGCTGCCAAAGGACAGCATTCTCACAGCCCAGGATGTGTGTTCAGTGCAAAATGTTCCCTCTGCCCCCAGGAAGAAAGATTAGTACTAATGTTTGCTTTCAAAATAGATCCAATAAAAGCATAACAAGGGGAAGAAACGCTGGGGCTGCTCAGAAAGGGCCACATTTTCACACTAGAAAAGACTGCTGCACAGGGAGGAGATGCCAAAGTGGCTGTGGTCCTACTGTGGAACTGAGAAACCACGCAAATTGTAAAAACAGTGATGAAAGGAACCTTAATCTTGCAAAACACTAATCTCAGGGAGCCTGGAGTCACACTGCCTCTCTGCTGAGAACATACAAGGCCAGGACAGCTTTTCACAACAGCTCTTGCTCACCTGAACCTGCAGAACTGCTCTGGGTACCACACACATTGCACACCTGAAGTGCAGGCACAAGTTAGCAAACAGCGTGGGTCCGTGACAACAGCCAAGGTATGAGGTGCTTCACCAGGGCTGGTGAAGCTGCCTGTGCCCCTGCAAAGGCAGCTGGGGAGGGGAAGACTGGGGTATTGCTGGTGAGAAGATCAGTGTGCACCTTCCCCAGCTCGCCCTTCAATCCTCACAGCCCAGGGACGCAGCCAGGCACTGCCATGGTCAGGAAACCTTGGTTTCCCTGATGCTTTTAGGATGGCACTTTGTATCTGCTGACAGAGAGCAGAGAAGGGAACATGCAAGACAGGCCATCCTCCCTCCTGCCAGAGGAATGAATGTGCTCATAAACCCATCTCCTTGGGAAATGGATTCATCATACAGTGAAAATAAACACTTGGAGGCAGAGGACTGGCAAAGGGAGGGACAAAGCCCTTCCCTCAGACAGTGTGGGTGTTTGAGACTCCTGGCAGCAGGAGCTGTAATTAAAAGTGCAGGAGCAGATTGTCCCCTGCCTGTATGAGCCAGCAGGGAAGAAAATGAGCCTGGCAGAACCAAGAGTTTTGGCTAAAACTCGAGGGAAAATGGGCAAGTTTAGGGCTTCTGGAAAAAGGGCAGGCAACTCAGGCAACAACAAGGATATTGTGAGGTGATGCAGGGAGAAAAGTTAGAAGAACTAAAGCCCAACTAGGGCTTAATCTGGCTGTTGCCATAAAAGACAATTAAAAATATGTTTGTATAAATACATCAGCAGTAGAAGGAGGGCTGAGGAGAATCTCCATACTTTATTGGGAAAACACAGTGACAAAGGATGGGGAAAAGCCTGAGGTACTTAATGCCTTCTTGGTCTCAGTCTTTATTAATCAGACCAGTTGTGCTCCAAGCACCCAACCCCCTGAGCTGGAAGATCTCCTTCATCAAGGTTACCTACTTAGTAGATGAGGGAAAGGCTGTGACCGATGTCTACCTGGACTCTAGTTAAGCCTTTAACACCTATGTCCCATAGCATTCTCCTGGAGAAACTGGCTTCCCATGGCTTGGATGGGTACACTGTTTGCTGGGTACAAAAATGACTGGGTGGCTGGGCCCACAGAGTGATGGGGAATAGAGCTGAATCCAGCTGGTGGCCAGTAACCAGTGGTGTTTCCCAGGGCTCAGTTTTGGGGCTAGTCCTGTTTAATATCTTTATTGATGATCTGGACAAGAGGATCAAATGCATCCCCAGCAAAATTACAGATGACACTAATTTAGGGGAAGTGTTGATTTGTTGGAGGATAGGAAGGCTCTGCAGATGGATCTGGACAGACTGGATTGGGTGGATGTCAGCACTGGATTGAGGGCAGTGCTGGGTTAACAGTTGTAGTACTTGACCTTAAAGGTCTTTTCCAATCTAAAAGATTCCATGATTCTATACTAGAAGAGCAAGAGATGCTGGGAGATAGACTGCAGCCTACTTACTGCCAGCCAGCCCTTGCAATACCCTCCCCTCAATGACAAAAGCATGTCCCTTATAGTAAATAAACTCTTAAATGGGCCCTTTGCAAAGCCCAGCAGCTGTGACGGGGAGAGCTGAAGAGCACGTTGTGTGCCCGCTCACACATCCGCTCCCTCTCTGGAGAAGCAGGGCTCTCCTTTCTACTCTATTAATCCCTGGCCTATTTTCAAACATTTGGGTGCATTTAGTAACTTAAGTCTCTTCCCTCCCTCTCTGCTGTACCACTGTCCTTCAGCAGGGGCCTCACCTTGACCTGAACCCCAGGGGAGGCACAGTCTGGACACAGCTCCACAGGCAAGACTGGGGCAGGCACAGCCCTGACATCCCACAGCAACGTGATATGAATCCATAGGTGATGCTGCCCGGCGGGAATTGCTGAATAACTCGGGATATGAGGCACTTTGGGAACAACCTGTCCTCAAAAGATGCTTGAGTCTCATTTCCAGGTGAGGATCTGCACCCAGACCCTGTTCCCTTTGCCAGCTCCCCATGCACTTCCACATCTCCCTAGTGCCAGAGCAAGCTGCAGGTTATATTTCCAGGCCTGGCTACCCAAAAAGCAAAAGCTCTCCAGGAATGCTCCCAAGAGGCAAAGGACTAACATTACTCAGGAGCTTTCATTGCTCTGGCTGTTTTGGAGGATGAAGCAAAGGCGGCTCCTGATGTGAAAACTGCAGCTGCCCAAATTGCAAAGCAGGACCTACAGCAAGGGCAGGCGGTATTTTATAACAATACAAAAGCTGTGTTTGTGATCTCCCTCTCAACTAAGACTTTAAAAACAATAACAATCTGTTCGTCCAAAGTGGCTAAAAGTAGTGAATATACTGCCAAACTCGAGTCAGCTGCACACACCAACACCTGGGGGTCATACCCCACCTGTGTCCCCACTGACATGGCTGGGCAGTATCCCTCCCGTGCTCTACCCACCTTTGTGGCAGTGACACAAGGTACAAGCCAGCAGCACAGCAGGTAGCCTGCTCTGTTTGCAGTAACAATTTGGTGTTTATCACTGTGTGTTTTATCAGATGTATTTAACCTGAGCCAACTCTCTGCTAGTGTAAATCCTAAGTACCTTAAAATCTAATTTAACAGCTACTCCTGACTTCAAATGCTCAATTTTTTAATGCCTAGCATGTATCAATAAAACTATTTTTGTAGTGTAAAATATTTTAACAGGCCAAAGCTTTTCTTTTCCGACCACGGAACAGGAAAGGTTTGTCAGGTTTGGTTTTGGTGGTGCCATATTTTTTCCTCCAACATTTCTCTCTTTCAGTTCCAGCTGCCCCCAGAACTGCACAGTTTATATTTTAATAGCTTTACTAATGTTACCTTAGAGGAGAGAAATCAGTTCTTCAACACTCAAACTCCACTGCAAGCCTGAGGTTTCCTAACACTGTAGCTGAGCTTTGCAGTACCAAGGGTCAACTGACCAGTGCAAACAGCCCAACATTCCCTGTCCCTCCCACATCCACGTGCGCTGGATGCTGGAGTGATTTACATTGTCACTTGCTCATCTCTCAGTTTTGGCTACACAGAGCCACAACATCTGAAGTATAAACAGAGGTAGCCAAATAAATAAAAAGATTATTTAGACAACAAAGTCCTGGACCACAACATGTGCTACTGAAATGCCAATAATAAATAACAGTGAAAATACAGACCCCAACATGTGGACGTGGGATTTTTTTGTGCAGGAGGGTCCTGTCCCAAAGCTGGTGGCAGTTTGACTATTGAGCCTGCTGGAGGCTGGCTGACCCCCCAGCACTGTGAGGCACCTCCTCCCTCTGTGCCCTTGCTACCTGCCAACCCATGCTGCCCCCGGGTACTGCAAAATAAAAGTGACTGGCAAGACTCAAAATGCAGGAGACAGAACAACGCAGAAGATACTGATCTCCACAATCGAGAGGTTAATTGTCACTTCCCCTCAATGCTACATAATAATCATGGCCTGGACTGTTCTAAAGTGCATCTCCAGCTCCTGCACGAGTACCTATACTGTGTGTACCTATAGTGTAGTATAGACTCCACATCACACCAGCCTGTCACCTTTCAGTCCTTGTGCAATATGAAGCAAACAGCACCTGACTGGCAGTCCTAGTCCTGCGCTGGGTCTCCCCTGCTCGGGCAGCCTGTTAATGTTTATCTGAGGAGCTGACCTGGGGCCTCACACACCACACCGTTAGATCACACCCTTCCTTTGCCCGAGTGGCTCACATTCAGAGGACTTGGGGCACTGCTGACATCTCTCCCACGGCAGCAGGTAAGGGCACAGACAGGTGCAGATAACAAGGCAGAGAGGCAGGAGGGAAGGACTCAGCCACATTCTCTACCTCTGCTGTAGTGCTGAGCTGCAAAGGCAGCAAGTGGAGCTGAGTCAAAGGAGTAGAGGGCTTTTACAACTGTTCCTCCTTCCTAGCACCCTTTTCAAGCAGGATCTGTACCACTCTGGGAAAAAAAAGAAGGGAGCACTAGGAGTTTCCATATCCCAGCCCCGCACAAGCCAGGTGGGGTTTTACCATGAGGGGTGTGAGAGCTCGTGGAGCTTGTCCCCACACCTTGCAGCAGCAGCAGAGACCATCAGTAATGACACCCCCTCCTGCTCCCTGCCGTTCGGGGGGTGGGGTTCCCCTCCAGCATTCCCTGGGGTTGCCCCTGACGGCACCAGTGCTTGGGGCAAGTCCTTCTCTGAGCAGCCAAGAGAGCCAAGGCGACACGGGGACTGCAAAGAGGCGTCAGTAACCAGAAACCCTGCTCCACCCCCTTCCCAGCCTTCAGGACAGCGCATAGCGCTGCTCCAAAGCCCCTCTGCCTCCAGCACCGGGGGGTACCAGCCTGGGGGGACTCAGCTCCGGGCTGGTCTTCGCACTGCGTTTGCAAAGCTAGTTCTGCCACGGACCCAGCGACACCCTGGTGACCCATCCACGGACCACGGCACGGCCCAAGCAGCAACGCAACCAACACCCCCGTAGTGGGGGGAAAGCGCGTGGAAATTCGGGGGATCCACACACGGGCGGTGCCCGAGCGTTCCCCTGCGGGGCACCACGGTCCCACGGAGCGCCGGCAGGTCCCGTGGGTACCGTTTCCCCGCGCGTCTCCCGAGTGTTTCTGAAAGGACCCGCACTTGCACAACCTCCCGGCCCGCGGGTCCAGCCTGTCACGCAGCACGGCGGGTGCAGGCAGTGGGGGAGCTCCATTCCCCGCGTCCCCAGCCCAAATTGCTGCTTCCCTCCAGCTAGGGACTCCCAGAGAGCCAGCACTCGATAGCAGTGCTGTCCTGTCCTGCCGCCCAAACCTGCCCGCCAGTGTCTGCCGCCCCCCGCCAGCCTTGCCTGCCCGCCGCCAGCCCCGCAGCGCGGGGACACCAAGGCAGCGCCTCTTACACGGGGAAAAAAACCTCCACGACCAACCCAACAGACCTGCAGCCGTCCCACGGTCGGAGCTGAGCTGGGTGCCATGGAAAATAAAAACCCTCCTCCCCTCCCACCTTCCTCGGGCTCACTGTCATCTGAGACTTGTAGTTAAACAAACTGGGTGCTTTAAGAGCTTTTGGTTGGATGCAGAACGACGGTCTGTGGTTGCAGCAGCGTGTCACCCGACTTCCCAGTACAACATTCCTGAGTCCCACAGTAACAGGCTCACATTTTAGGCAAATAATCCATTTATTCCTATTATTATTATTTCAGCACAAAGTCCTGTAGCGTTTGGCGAAAAAGAATTCGCAGTTTCTGGGCGTTGATAGAACTGTCCCACTGCCGGCCACAGCCGCGGCCGTGACCCAGCCCTGCCGACCCGCGCTCAGCCTCCACTGCCAGCACCCCTTCCCCGCTATTTTGTCGCAGAGTGCCACCTCCGCACAGTCCCCCGGGCTGGGCAGCACTGGCACCACCGCCCGAGATGCCCATCTGTCCGGGGAGGGCTCCCACGGCCACCGGCTCGGTTATGAGAAGGGGACCGGGAGGAGTCCCGCGGGACACCCGGCTCCTCAGCGGGGCTGCCGCCGGGGCAGGGGGGGTCCAGCCCCAGCCCCGCTCCCGCCGCCCAGCACGGCCCTCCCGCAGCAGCCACCGGCTGCTCACAGCAAGGTCAAGAGGTAGTTCAACACCGGCCACGGCCAGGAAGTCCTTCCGGGAACGTGCATTCTGCACAGCCTCAAATCCCCCCGACCCCGCTCAAAAGACCCTCGGTCGTGCCCCTAATCAGGGAGGCTGCCAGCAGCCCACCTGCCCTACCCGGGGCCAGCCTCCATTTGCATAAGGTTTGAGTTTGGGGTTTCTTGCAGCCATTAGATTTTAAGAGCACTCTAGAAGAAGATCACTATTATTATTAAGGGGGGGGGGGGGAGTTGATTTTCCTTAGAAAGACTCCTCTGTAAAACCAGTGTGTGCCACGCCAGAGCCCACAGTACCCTACCCGCTAGGCACAGTACCTTTGCAGCGCAAAAAGTCCTCGGGGTGAGGGAAGGAACCCTCTTCGCAGAGCAACTCGCAGGCTTTATCCGGTGCCAGGGGGTAGCCGTTGTCCTCCTCATTGTAGTCGCTCCTGCCGTTGCTGTTGGAGTAGCCGTTGGCGTACATCTTCAGGGCAGACCGGCGGAAGCACAGGAGCTCCTGGAAGGCGTACCTGAAGTCCGGGCTCCGGCAGTAGATCAAAGGGTTGAAGGCAGAGTTGACATAGCCTAGCCAGTTCAAGAGGAGGTACACATACTTGGGAATGATGTTGTCCTGGATGACGTGCACGATGTTGACGATGAAGAAGGGCAGCCAGCACAGCGTGAAGGTGCCCATGATGATGCCCAGGGTCTTGAGGGCCTTGTGCTCCTTCAAGAATTTGGAGGCACGGCGGTACCCGGCTCCCCCTTCTGCTCCTGCTCCTTGTTCTGGGTGTGAAACCTCCCCTCGCTCCTGTCTATCTTCTGCAACTGCTTCTTGGCCACCTGGAAGACCCTGGCATACACAAATACCATGATGACGAGTGGCACGTAGAAGGAGATGATGGAGGAGGCAATGGCATAGGCTTGGTTGGTGAAAAAGTCACAACATGTGTCCTTCTCGTAGCACCGGATGGCCTCTGCATGGTCTGCCCGGTACCAGTGCATTTGGATGGGCAAGAAGGAGGTGAGGGCTGAGACCACCCACACGATGAGGATGACCACGCGTGCCTTGCTCTTAGTCAGCAGGCTCTGGTACTTGAAAGGGGAGGTGATGGCGAAGTACCGGTCCACGGCAATGACACAGAGGGTCTCAATGCTGGCCGTGACACAGAGCACGTCCAAGGAGGTCCAGAACTCACACCAGAAGTTCCCAAACTGCCACATCTCCATGATGATGTGGCAGGCGCCGAAGGGCACCACGGCCAGCCCCATCACCAGGTCAGCGCAGGCCAGCGAGGTGATGAAGTAGTTGGTGACAGTCTGCAGCCGCTGGAACCGGGCGATGGCAGTGATCACCAGCACGTTGCCGAAGACGATGGACAGCACGATCACCGACATGAGGATCCCCATGCCCACCATCCACACGTCCCGTGACACCGTGGGGTCGGCGGCGCTCTGGTTGGCACTGACGTTGCCGCCGGGCAGCTCGGTGCCTGCCACCGCCATGGCCCGCCAGCAGCCCCCCGGGGGCGGTGGGGGGGGCTCGGCTTTGCTTAGGGCTCCGCAGCAGCAGTGCTGCTCTGGGCGCCACGCATACGGGATAGCAGGTGCGGGGACGCTCCCGCCGTGCGAACCTGGCACCGGACCGGACCGGACCCGACCGTCCACTCCGCTCCCGTCCCGTCCGCCCCGTCCCGCGCGGGGCTGCCGCCCGCCCGCCCGTCTCCCAGCCCGTTCGGCGCCGCGGATCTTATAAAGTGACACCCGCCCGTGACATCAGCCCGCCGCAGCCAATGGCTGCCGGCACCCGCACCCCGAGCCCCCCCGCACCCCCGAGCTCCCCCTCCGCCTGCCCCACGCGTGTCACCGCTCCCCCCGGCCACGCGCGCTGCACCCCCGCGGTGTCCCCGCGCCTCTCGCGTGCTGCCCGGCACCATGGGCTCCCCCTGCTCCAGGTGTGATCCCTCCCCTCGCGGTGTCCTCACGTTCCCCCCTGCCCACGCGTGTCCGCCACACACCCCCCACGTGCAGCCTGCTGTGCGCTGTCCCCGTGCCTGCCACCTACAGTGCCAAGCAAGCACTCCCTACCTCAGCAGTGTCCCTGCAACCCCTGAACCACAAATGCCCCCAAACTCCTCCCAGTCCCAGAGTGTCCCTACACCTCTCACCCCGCCCACACACCCTGTGTGCTCCTGGGGTGTCACCAGGACACACGGCACCAGGAAAATCCTGAGGATGCTGAAGCTCACAAAGGCTTTGTCCCTAGTTGGGCACTGGAGTTTGGCTTTCCCGAGAACCCCCATCCTCACTGGTGACACCTCATACCAGGCTGTCACCCGTGTGCCCATCCCTGAGAGCCCCCAGCACAGCACTGTTACTGCAGCTTCATCCCCAGCTCTCAGCCCCCCAGCTGGCACCCAGGGTGGTGGGGTGCATCCAAGTGCAGGAGTCAGCACCCGGCCCCCAAAACCCCAGAGCTGGTCAAAGGCACAGACACCCCTCGACTGTCCCAGGGGCACTTACCAGGCAGGGAGCTCTGTGACTGCTGCAGCCAGGCATGCGGTCAGATCCAGACTCTATCACAAGTATTTCCCTCCAAAATAAACAAATTTGCTAAATAAGGACTAAGGAATCCTTAAAACTTCCTTTTAGCCTAACAGGAGATATTGCCGCTGCTGGAGTTTCATTTCTACCCATCGTTCTGAACTGGCACTGCCCAGCCTCGTGCTGCTCTCCCAGAGCAGTAAATCATGCTACCTGCTGGGACTGGGGTGCTTGTGGAGGTGATGGGTTTTCATAATTCTGCCTCATTTTTCCCTCATGGTAAGGTGGTACCATGGTCCCAGGGGCCAGGGTGCCAGCTGTGGCAGTGGGGCTGCAGCGGGGAGCAGCCTTCGCCCTGCCAGCCCCAATTGCGCTGCAGATATTTATAGAGAAGAGCTGCATGTACAGAGAGGAAGTTTTGTGGTTTAAAACTGAGGGGCAAATGAGGTACTGGAATCAGGAAACGAAAGGCAGTTTCAGTGGTATGAGGTGTCTGCCTAGGCAGGGTCCTTCCTGAACAAGTGGTTTCCCGCTCTTTCCACACTCCACTTCTGCATCCACTATTTCAGAGGTTTTAAAAATGCAGAGACATGAACAGAGGATCCACAGGGCACCCCTTCCCACTG